GTCTTTTAACTTCATGGCTGCAGTCACCATCTGCAGTGATTTTGGAGTCCAAGAAGATAAAGTCAGCCACTGTTTCCACTGTTTCCCCATCTATTTGAATAATTGTATAATTTTTGGGCAAATCACATCATTTCTTTGAGTTTGATCATTTCTAAAATTGAAGATAATACCTTTCCCATACATACTAATTAAAGATTGAGGATTAATGAAAGATGAAGGATAGAATGAGAGATGTTCCTAAAAATTTCTAGTCTACTATCTGGCACATAGTTTGTATTCCATAAATATTAACTGATATAATGGTAATATTCCAAGAATTTTATATCATTCATGCTTTATAAATTTCCTTGACTAAAAATTGTTAAGTAGCTAACTTTTCTGAACTCAATTTTCCTTTTTTTAAGACACTAATTCCACCTTTGTGCAAATTTGAGGTGAAGCCATTGTAATATTAGTCAAATGTTCACTAGAAACTAGTTACCAATCCCATACAAATCATTGCACTTCATGGTTTATGAAATATGATAGAATTAAACTACCTCATTTTTTTATCATTGAAAATCTTGTATTTAAATAAATCAATTCCAATGTTTTCATACATTGGCTATGAATAACAATTTCTAGCTGACTTTTACTACTACATAATTTTTGCAAAGTTCTGTCATTGCCACTAGCATGGACTTGTGATGATTAATGCCATTTTGTAAAGCTTTTGTTTCCATTTTGATTTGCATCAGTTAAGGCACATTCCTGAAATACTTATCAACACAATTCTTGACTAAAAAATTAATCATTGTTGTAGAAAGTTTTCACCATTCTTGATCAAATAAAGAATGCTTTCAAGTCAGTCATTTTTAGAGTATGATTCTGTTGTGTGTGTGAATAGAGTCGTGTGTTTGTGTGTGTCTGTGTGTGTGTGTGTAGCCAAACCTGCTACACAATCTGTAAAATACAAGGGTGATTTTACAAATCACATGGGTGGTTTCTTGACCTTAGGAGTAAGAATGGGTATTTTTTTTTAAAGTCGTTAAGTCATGAAAAAGCAATCTTTCATCAGATATTCAAAGCAGACTGTCAACTTCCATTCTGAGCTGGAAACTGCACGGAGGAAACTTTCTTTCTTTTTGAACTGTTGCGTTTCCAGAAGGAAGTAAAGAGAAGCGGAGTCATTGCCCCCGGTTCTTTGTACTTCTCTCCTTTCCTTATCCTCTCTCTCTGTCTCTCTTCAGCATAATAGCTTTATATCCATAAGGATTTGGTGAGTCACTTTGGATCTTAATCACAAAAGTTTGTGAGCGAAATCCCCTGGAGGCAGAGACCTTTTCAAGCTAGGAAAGCTGGGAAACTGTTTCTATGGACACAGGACGCACAGCCAAGGGCCTGAATCCGGCAGAAAACAGTTACCAGAGCCAGAGAGAGAAGAAAGTAGGTGCGCTTCGGGGAGGCGGAGGCGTTGGAAGTTTAGAAGCTAAATTTTGTATGGAGCTGGAAAGCGAAATAAGAAACGCATGCTTTTATTAAGTCTTAGGCCCTTTTCCTCCGCAGCCGATAACAGAACTTTCTCCCCCCGGGATCTGCCTGGGGAGGGACTGGGCCCGAGGCGTCCCTGTCACGCTGGGTTGCGGTGTTGCTCCCCGAAGGTTTCCCAGGTAAGTGTGGGAGACAGGTAGGAGGCAGGCCTCAGGGGCTTCTCGCAGATTCCTTGAAAGGACTTTTGCCTCTTCTATACTTAATTTTAAGGAGTTTCCTCAATCACAACATCTTTGATATTTTAGTTTCCTCTTAAAGGACCACAGACAGAGGGTATTTGCGAAGGGCTCCCTGATTTCCAGGTACCCCCGAGCCTCTTTGCGCGGCCCTGCTGAGAGGAGGCTCCCGGGGAAGGTGAACTGAGGGCGGGCTCCGGGCATCATAAACCGTGCATCTCAAACTTCCGAAATAGACAGAACAGTTGTGGACGGGGCTGGTTGGAGTTGATCACTCCAGCAATAATTGTGATGCGGTTTTAAATTTGCCAGTAGGAGTCTTCCTATGGTAATCTCATTGGTTGCTCGCAGTGACACTCCCCAGAGCTTATACAAATATTTTTAAAACATCTTTGATATTTTTCGTTAGAAGCCTACCATCCAACCTCAAATTGGTGCCAGGCAAATTTTAGTAATGTCTGAAACCCAAGAGTCAATTTTCTCCCCTGCTCTCATAACACAAAGGGGACAATAAATTATATAGTATGGATCTATGCGCAGAGGCCAGGATTAATCTTGAAATCTTCTAATAATGATTTTTTTTTAATAATGATTTTTTTACGTTAGTTCTCATGATTTGTGGGCTGTGTTGGTTTGCTAGAGCTGCCACAGCTGCAATACCACATGTCATGGTCAATGCGCGGGTTGAAAAAGAATTTCCAGAATGAGAGGGAAATAAAGTTTATTCGAGTGGGAGATGCTGTTAGAACAGCGGGGCAGCTCAAGGGAGAACCAGCGTTGAATAGGGGTCCTTAGTCCACTTTCTACCCAGGGTCCAAGGAGTGGGATAGGGGTCTTGCAGGTCGTTTGCTTATTGGATGAGGAAACTATACTGGGTGGGAAGGGGAGTAAGGCAAATATCTCCTCCCTATGGGGTAGGTGGGGAGACAGGTTATACTGTTCCATTAATAGTTACAACATGGGGAGGGAAGGACAATAAGGGTCTGTTTTTCCCATTCCTGCATTCTAAGACCCTCCTTGGTTATCTGCTCCCTTGTCCTTGGGTCACCACACCACAGATAGTATGACTTGAACAACAGTCATTTATTCCTCACAGTTCTGGAGACTAGAAGTTCAAGATCAAGGTGTCTGCAGGATTGGTTTCTTCTTAAGCTTCTGTCCTTGGCTTGCGGATGGACCCCTTTTCCCTGTGTCTCACCTGATCTTCCCTTTGTGCATATTGTCTGTGTCCTAATCTCTTCCTGTGTGCCGCCAGGCACAGTGGATCAAGGCCCACTCTGATGACCTCATTTTAACTATTATAACTTAATTACTTTTTTAAAAATAAAGGCTCCAAAAACAGCCACACTCTGAGATACTTGGGATTAGGTTTTCAACACACAGATCTGAAGGTGACATAATTCAGCCTGTAATATGAGTCAACATTTTAGACTAAAAAAAAAGAATTCTCTTGTGTCTGTACTTGGAATGTGAGGTAAAGAAATTTAGCCAGTTATCGCAAATGGAGCAAAACATAATCACTTAACAAGTGCTTTCTAGGTGCTCAGTACAATGTTTAATGGGGCTTCCCAGGTATCACTAGTGGTAAAGAACCTGTCTGCCAATGCAAAAAACTTGAGGCATGGGTTCAGTCCTCAGATCAGGAATAGCCCCTGGAGGAGGGCTTGGCAACCCACTTCAGTATTATTGCCTGGAGAGTCCCATGGACAGAGGAGCCTGGCAGGCTACAGACCATGGGTCACAAAGAGCTAGACATGACTGAAGCAACTTAGCATGTATGCACAGTGTTCAGCGGGCTGTGTCAAGTACAAGTATAAGAGGTCTTTCCTGCAAGGAGTGAACATATGACCTGATGAAGCCAGATAAAGGAGTAAATGTTAATTTGAGCCTCCATTTTCTGGATAGTTGCTCAGTCCAGCTCTTTAGTTTGAGTTTAAAGCCAGTTTCAGTTTTCTTTAGTTTTTCCTTTAATAGGAGATGTTTCCAACCTGATGAAAAAGACTTCTTTGCAGAGCCTATTATATTGGCAGCATTGGGCTTTTTGTTTGTTTGATTTTTTTACTTTTTTCCAGTCCAAAAGTATGGTTAAAATGAATTAATGCTTTTTAAAAAGTAACTTTTTAGTTTGATATTGTTATTTTTAGTAATGACTCAGTCTCTGATTGCTTATAATGTTGGCCTTGCAACCTTGAAATTGTTGATGTAGCCAAGTCTTTGCAGTGAAGCCAGTGGATGATTTACTTTGAGAGTGACTGGCAATTTTATTCTGCCCTAGTTGGCAAGTTCTCTATTTCATTAGGTTCTTTTTCCAAAAACTGTCATTACTGAGCCCATAATTAAGAACATAAATCTAAGTTTCCTTTGAAAATAATTTTACCAGGTTTAGATTTGGCAAGAACCAAATCTTATAATTCACTCAACTTCATATTTCATCCCCAGTAAATCATCCTGAATTAATATCATCCATCACAGATAAACTGGGATTCCTCCCCATAAAATGCTTTATTCAGAGACATCTCCAAACTAAATTATAATTTTCAGATCCCAGTTAGGTGTAAAATCCTTTGTCTGGTGCTGAGATTCAAAGCAGGTAAATCAATTCTTGCTTTAAATGAGATTTAACACAGTGAGGAAGAGATTTGTCAAATGGTAAATCTCTGTAGTACAATGTGCCAAGTTCTATCATGAAGGACAAAATATAATAGCACATAATAAAATGTAACTGTCACTGGAACAAAGAATGAGAGAATGTCAAGGAGAGTCTTGCAAAAGAGCTTGCCTTTACATTGCTGTGCTGCGTGCTCATTCGTGTTTGATTCTTTGTGACTTCATGGACTGTAGCCTGCCAGGCTCCTCTGTCCATGGAATTTTCCAGGCAAGAATACTGGAGCAGGTTGCCATTTCCTACTCCAAGGGATATTCCTGACCCAGGGGTTGAATCTGTGTCTCTTTTTTCTTCTACATTGGCAAGTGGATTCTTTACCACTGTGCCATCTGGCAAGCCCACCCTTTACATTAGGAGTTGAGAAAGGATAGGCTTTTGACTAGAAGACATTAGGAAAGAACATCCCAATGAAATGAAAAGCAGGAATAGGACTTCTGTAGTGGTTCAGAGGCTAAGACTTTGAGCTCCCAGTGCAAGGGACCTGGGTTCAATCCCTGGTCAGGGAACTATGATCCCACATGTCTAGTTTTCATGTTGCAATGAAGATTGAAGATCCTGTATGCTGCCACTAAGACCTGGCACACTCAAACAAATAAATATTTTAAAAAGAAAGAAAAGAAAGCAGGAGTGAAGGACATGCTTGGAAAGGGGCAGGATGTGTCCTGGGAAAACAAATGGTAAAGTGTGGCAGAAGAGGCTGGGTTATGGGGGAGGTTAACTGGAAAGGTGGAGTGAACCAGATCCTGGACTGTTTTCTTAAACTGTGCTGTATGTCATCTGCAGAGCTTGCGTGTTACTCTGCAGATATTGGGGAGCAAACTGAGGTTTGAGGGCTGGAGCTGGACCCGATCAGTGTCCTGTTTGATTAAGCCAGCTCTGATGGCATTTTGAAGGACCAATATTTGAGGGATGAGGAGGAAAGTTAGGGGCTGGCAAATTAGGGAGATTAGAGTGTAGTAACTGAGAGAAGGGAAAATGAACATCTTAAGGTCTGAAGGAAGACAATAACATTGAAAGTAAAAGCCAGGATCAGACAGGCCTTGTCCAGTTGGGGTCAATGTAGCCTCACGGTACATGAAATTATGTGAAAGACTATTGGTCCATTTTAACCCCAAGATTCTATGGGTTAGGTTTCTGTGACCACATAAGAACTCTCCATTCCAGAAAGGAGCATTTCCCAGCAACTGTAAGTGTACATAAGATTGCTTCAGGTGTATCTATGCATATTTAAGAAATGAGATCATCTTTTTCACCCCTAGTTAATATATCATTGAAAGGTGGATGACTAGATCTGTTTACTTGAACACAAATTAATTTTGTCTTTTGATGAGTCTCCAAATGACACCCCACTCCAGTACTCTTGCCTGGAAAATCTCATGGATGGATTAGCCTGGTGGGCTACAGTCCATGTTGCCAGTGTGGCAACATCATAATGCTTATCGAAGTAACATCAAACTGTCTCCCTAAACACTTACTATATATTCAAGACCTACACTAATGCCTTATGAGACAGTGAGTTTTAGTTTTTGTTGACTAAACTCATAAAAAAGAATTGAATAAAAAATTGAGAAGTAAAACTATGAGAAAATGACATGGTACAGAAGATATGAAATTTCTGAGTTAAAATAGAATATACTGAATTGCTGGATTAAATAGAAGACATTGACTTGCTAAATAAATTTTCTTTATTTCCCAAGTTCCAAGCATTTCATTTCAGTATAATTGAAAATATAGCCTGTGAAGTAGGCCATCAGATATATGGAGATCATTGGTGATTGCATGGTGACAGGTATGCAGAAAAAAACAAAATGATATGCAGATGTGGAACTTGCATTTTCCAGAATTTACAGGTAATCTCATACATTTTATCCCTAACCAGTAAATGTATCATTACTTATATTTACTGCTTTCACTTTTCAAACACTTTATGTGTCACTTGCATTCACTCAGTTAAACCTCATAGAAGCCCAAGTCAAGTGGGTTCTTCTATTATTCCCTTTTTATGAATGGGACAATACAGAGAGGGTAGGCAATTAGCCCATAATCACACGGCTGGTAAGTTGCAGAGCCAAGGATTCAAACCCAAGCAGCCCAATTTTAGATTTCATGTTCTTAACCAGTATACTATGCTGCCTTTCTAAGTTTGAAGGTGGGAGACAAAGCAGTGTTTTTTAATGTGATGGCTTCATCTAGGAGAACCTCAACAGGACTCTGTGAAAGATTTATGCATGCTCATAAATGTAAATGCAGACTAAAAGCAAGCATCAGTTCAGTTCAGTTCAGTTCAGTCGCTAGTCATGTCTGACTCTTTGCAACCCCATGGACCACAGTACATCAGGCCTCCCTGTCCACCAACTCCTGGAGTCTACCCCAACTCATGTTTGTTGAGTCGGTGATGTCATCCAACCATCTCATCCTCTGTCGCCCCCTTCTTCTCCTGCCTTCAACCTTTCCCAGCATCAGGGTCTTCTCAAATGAGTCAGCTCTTCACATGAGGTGGCCAAAGTATTGGAGTTTCAGCTTCAGCATCAGTCCTACCAATGAACACCCAGGACTGATCTCCTTTAGGATGGACTGGTTGGATCTCCTTCCAGTTCAAGGGACTCTCAAGAGTCTTCTCCAACACCACAGTTCAAAAGCATCAATTTTTCGGCACTCAGCTTTCTTCACTGTCCAACTCTCACATCCATACATGACCACTGGAAAAACCATAACCTTGAAGAGACAGACCTTTGTTGGCAAAGTAACATCTCTGCTTTTAAATATGCTGTCTAGGTTGGTCATAACTTTGCTGCCAAGGAGTAAATGTCTTTTAATTTCATGGCTGCAATCACAATCTGCAGTGATTTTGGAGCCCAAAAAAATAAAGTCTGACACTGTTTCCCCATCTATTTGCCATGAATTGATGGGACCAGATGCCATGATCTTAGTTTTCTGAATGTTGAGCTTTAAGCCAAGTTTTTCACTCTTCTTTCACTTTCATCAAGAGGCTCTTTAATTCTTCTTCACTTTCTGCCTCAAGAATGGTGTCATCTGCTTATCTGAGGTTATTGATATTTCTCCCAGCAATCTTGATTCCAGCTTGTGCTTCTTCCAGCCCAGTGTTTCTCATGATGTACTGTGCATATAAGTTAAACAAGCAGGGTGACAATATACAGCCTTGACGTACTCCTTTCCTGATTTGGAACCAATCTATTGTTCCATGTCCAGTTCTAACTGTTGCTTCCTGACCTGCATACAGATTTCTCAAAAGGCAGGTCAGGTGGTCTGGTATGCCCATCTCTTTCAGAATTTTCCACAGTTTATTGTGATCCACACAGTCAAAGGCTTTAGCACGGTCAATAAAGCAGAAATAGATGTTTTTCTGGAACTCTCTTGTTTTTTCAATGATCCAGCAGATGTTGGCAATTTGATCTCTGGTTCCTCTGCCTTTCATTTACCATTTTCCATTTCCTCTATGGCTGGTGGTTAATTCATTTATTCAGGTTGTTAAGTATTCGGGATGCAAGGATGAGTTAGATCTGCCTCTGGCCTTCAATAAATAGTATAGAGCGGGGATAAAATATATAAAATGCTTTAAGAGAGTGTGAATAAAGAACTAGGGCAGCAGTATACATAGACTATCATGTGAATGTAGACATTGGACATCTAAATCACAGTTTATCAGGAAAGCCTCCCAGCAGAGGTGTTATTTCTATTGGATCTTGAGGGATGCATTGGACTTAGAAATGCAGAGAACGGGTAACAGTATGGTAGGCAGAGGAAACAGCAAAGACAAAGCAACTAGTGAAGGAAAATACACCACATTCAAGGACTGCAAGTTGTTCATCAGGACTGGGATATCAAGGATACATGAGGAGGAGGCAGGTGAGGTTCAAGACTTAGTCAGAGGCCAAACCTTGAGCCTCATAGGATAAAGCAAGGAGCTTGACCTTTGTCCTGAAATCTATAGGGAGGGGTTGAAGTGTAATCAGGGAAGCATGTGATTGTATTTTTCTTGAAAAAATAATTCAGGCAAAAGTAAGAATAAAATGGATGGGATGGAACACATGTACGAAGATATTTTGAAACTGTTGCAATAACCCAGACGAGTTGTGGAATCTTACACTGAGACGAATAGCAATGTGAATGGATAAGAGGAAAAAAACTGAAAAGATATATAGGATGTAGAATATATAAGAGAAAGTGATTATTATATATTTAAGGAAAGGGTAGGAAGGAGTTTTCCCGGAGTGTGTTGGTGTTAGTCACTCAGTCGTGTCTGACTCTTTGCAATCCCATGGACTGTAGCCCACCAGGCTTCTCTGTCCGTGGAATTCTCCAGGCAAGAATACTGGAGTGGGCTGCCATTCCTTTCTTCAGGGGATCTTCCTAACCCAGGGATTGAACCCGAGTTTTCTGCACTGGCAGAAATGCAGACAGATTCTTTACCGTCTGAGGCACAGGGAAGCCCTGATTAATTGTAAATACCTCTATTTTTAAGTTCAAATTATTCCCTAGTTTTGTTCCCATCTCTTAGCCAAAATTCCAGTGATGTAAGCTTTTACTTTATCTATAAACCAAAACAGAAAATTTGCCATTATCCTTTTTTTAAATTTTAACTTCTAGTGAGAAATACCTATCTTCTACTCTGTTGTACTCAAAATAGGAAAACATTTTAGAGTAATGGGAGCCATTAACCTAGCAGAGAATTTGAGAAGCAATCAGGAGAGAAGACAGAATGAATATGACAGAGCTTCTGATATTTATTTTCCATTTGTCTCTTAGTAAGAAAATCCTGATTTTTACCTGACTGTATCACAGAGATAAAGGGATTGCAAGTCCCAGCCTTCCTTTTAGCTGGGTGCAGCTATTTTACTATGGCTATTCCTGGAGAGTGGTGACCAAATTCTGGTTTGGGGAACAGCTGCATTAGAAGGGGTTTTAAAAATATATCCCTGGTCTTTACCTCTGTAAATCTTAACTTAGTGGGTCTGAGATGGTAACTGGGAATTTGTACTTCTTGAAACCTTTTGAGTTCATTCTGCAGTGTAACTAGGATTGAAAACCATTACAACTCCTAAGTTTCTGGGCTGGATGCCTAAGATATAATCTATGTGATAATAAAAGTTGGAAGAGGTTTTTGGCTAAGGGAGCAGAAGAATGGATTTACTTTTAGTCCTACATTTGGGCCATCTATGGGAAATCTGGACTGAGTGAGGTGTATAGGTTGGAATTGAGAAGAGAGACTTTGTTTGGAAATAGATGGTGGTAGATGAAGACCTGAGTTTGGGAGGTCATCCTGAAAGAATATATGGAGTAGTGGAAAAATGGCTGAACATTTAAGAATGCTAGTATTTAGGCAGTAGTGTGAGAAAAAACAGCAAGTTGAAGATATTGGCAAGGAATGTTTGGAGAAGGTAGAATGACAGGACTGTTGTCATAGAAACAAAGAGAAGGGAGACCTGTAGAAAGCAGTGGTTAACATTAGCCAAAGTTTTAAAAACTCAAATAAGATAAATACAAGCAGGAAAGTATCCACCTATTTATAAAATGGTGACCCTGGTAACTTATGAGAGCAGATTTAGAGGAATAGGTTAAGAAGAAGTCACATGATGACCGACTGAGAAGGAAAAGAGATGTAAAAAATTAGAAAACCTCAGTATAAACAATTATCTTAAGAATTTGGCAATCAAGGGAAGATGAGAGAGAATGTGATGGCTAGTATGGAGAATGGAGGCATTTTTTCCTTTTTTTTTTTTTAAATAGAAGAGCCCTGAGCATGCTAAGGAAAAGGAATTGGTTAAGAAAAACAATAAAAGACAAAGGGACGAGGAAGTAAAAAATGGAAATAATTCTTTTAGGAGGCTAGAGATAGTAGAGTCTAGGGTATATGGGAGGAATTAGCTTTGGATGGGAGAGGCAACACTTATATTAAAATTAAAATACAAGTGAGATGACAATGGATGGATGTCAATGAGACTTTGGTATGAGAAGTGGAAGTTAAAGAAGTTCTTACCTGATGGTCTCTATTCTTTTTGGTAAAATATGAGAGACTATTTGCCTTGCCTAGGAAGATGGGTGTCACAAGAAAAATGTCTGCCAAGAGACAACTTACTTACTTAGACAACTTACTGTGATAGAATACCTAGCACAGTATGTTTCATGTAATGGAGTTGGTGGCTAGAAGCCAAATGAAATGTTTATCATTAAATGAAATTGTATGCTGATAGAAATAGAATAATGAAGTAGAATTTATGCCCATAGAAGTATAAATATGAAACCAAAGTATGAAGCCAGTATGCTGGTTTAAAATAGACATTAAAATTAAAGATTAAATCAAGAAAGGACAGATGGTCAAATTGAGGGACATTTAATATAGTCTGGATGCTCTTGATTAAAAGGTTAATTTTTACTTCATGCAAAAGCGGCTGGAATGCATCATCATATTAGACCTGGTGGGCCTTTGCTCTCAGCATTTACTTGAAGAGACACAGCTAGGTTCTTGGTACCCCCAGGATGATGATGAAAGCAAGCAAGTTAGTCTGTGGTGTTATCTCACCTGCAGTCTCCCCCAGTGCCCTTCATCCACTGGGAACCACTGGCATGTTGCCAAAGAGCTATGAAAACATTTGCAAGCTAAAGAAGAAAAGTTTGCCTCCAAAATATGAATATAAGACTGCAAAACTAAAACTAACAACATTATGTCAGTTTCATTGTCAAGCTTCGTATTCTTCACTTCAAAAAAACTCATGATGAGCACAGTGATTTGCCAGAAATCATATCATAGCTAAATAATTTGCTCATAGCAAAATAATTTTAAATCAAAAACATAAAAATTTCCTTCAAATTACAGTTTTCTACGTGTGTGTTTATAAAAAAAATAGAATGATGAGGCATAGCTTAAAATGTCTGATGTGATGTTGAAGATGAGGGACTGTAAAAGTAAAAGGCATAAGACATTTTTTACCCTTTAAAAGCCCTTCTTTCTGTCCCTCCTACAGTAAGCAGCAAGTCTCCATTCCCTCATGTAATTTACATCTTCCTCAAACTGGGAAATGCATTCCTTTGGTTCTTCTAGTTATTTACCTCTGTGTATTTTATTTAGAAATAGAAATCTTTGTCCCCAATAAAATAAATTTTGGTGAGAATTATAATATCCTTCCCCATATTTGAAGTCATATTATGTTTAAGAGAAACACAGAAGCTACAATTCCTGTAGTTGTTTTTAGGATATATAAGAGGGGTGGTTTCTAAATCTGAGAAGACAGTATACAGTGTCCAGATAATCTCTAATTTCTCCCCTACTCTCCTGTAGGAGACCCAGAGAATCTGAGACATTCACACTGTGCTAACACCTTTACCCTACATCTCTCTTTTCCAAGCTGCAACCCAAGGCTTTGTGGTTCATACCAAGGCAGGCTATCTGCATAGCTCACAAAGTTCTTTGTCACATAGGACTACATCATGGGATGGAGGTGGAGTATTTAGATGTGGCAAAATGTCAGAGGACTTACTGGGATGGTAAGACACCCTCAGAGCATCGGGAATTCACCAGCACAATAGATGGTAAAGGAAATAAAATAGAAGACAGCTAAAAGATACCAAGTGCAAAATAACTTGAGCTTTTGACATAGGGTTCTTAATTCTTGTCTTTTCATGCTTTATTGCCTCTGTGTGATGTTGACTGAATAATATACAATATGGGAGACACTGCATAAGAAGTTTTTGAGCTAAAAAGAATCTTAGTGTAGACATTGATGTTCACTAGAAATATTGATGAATTCAATACTTTCTGTGAAGTTTTACAGACATTTAAATAAATGTTGCCGGAGCCCATTCAATTCAGTGAACAACAATATGTTGAATGCATGAATGTCTACTCAAATTTTAAAAATAAATAAATAAATAAATAAAGTAGAGGGAGTTTTGGGTTGGTATTCCTGATCCTTGTCTCCACTCTGCCCCTAGATATTTGTATTTCATTGTAAGGTACTTTGTGGCTTTTAATTTTCTCATCTGAAAATGGAAATACATTAGACCAGGTTCTAGTGGCTAACATTCAAGTCCCTAAAACTAATGTGGACCATCTGAGCCCAGATGAGATTTGTAGCAAATTAATTAGCTGGAAATATGAACTATTATGGCAACAGACCCTTCCCAGCTTGGCTCCTGCTCCTTCTGTGTGACTGATTGCCTGCTAAGTGCTGTATTAACAGTCTTGGATCATCGACCAATTTAATTTGAATGTAATTAATTCTATAAATGTGAGCTCTCCTTATTTACTTTCATTAAAATTAAATCACAACAAAAAGAAGATATAAATCAAACTGCAGGCCCTTGCTTCAGGTATGAGTCACATCTGGTTCTCATACAGTAATCTTGAACTTTCTTCAACTCACCTTTAATCATGCTTTTAAAAATTCCTGAGGTCCACATGCTTCTGGGAATTCTGATCATATGAGCTTCTGTCTAAAACATTTGAGTACTTCTACAATTCTGTGATTTGTTCCATGATCTAGAAAAGAACTGTATTCTTTTCTTTACCTAAAACACTGTTGGAAATGTATGTCTCTTAATTTATGTCTAAATAATTAATTATATGTTTAATTTTGTTTTGGAGATTTATCCCCCCCCCCTTCCTTTTAAATAGGAATTTACTGACTGACAATGGCAGAAAGAGTCTTAGAGAAGCTGGATATTCTTGATGAGCAAGCAAAGACCCTCTTGGCCACAAGAGCAAAGGTTTGTAAAATACAAGCTAAAATTCACTAAATTTTATCATTAAAAGGTTATCATTTCAAATGTGAATGGGTTATAGATCAATTTTTAAAAAGGTAATAATTGAAATAATAATTTCAATAATAATTGAAAGAGTCGTCTATGTAATACTATAAAGAATTGACTAAATATATGAGCTAACTTCCAGCCAGCTGTAGTGTTTGGTTATGATGCGTCTAACCTGTTTTATTAGAAAAAATCCTAAGCAGTCAAACAGTAAATGTGACCACTCCTGGGACTTCCCAGGTGGTTTAGTGACTAAGACTCTATGCTCCCAATGCAGGGACGCTGGGTTCAATCCCTGATCAGGAAACTAGATCCCATATGCTACAACAAAGTGTTCATGTGCCACAACTAAAGGACCCACATGCCACGACTAAGACCCTGTACAGATAAATAAATATTTTTTTAATATGACTAATATAGTTTTTACTTATATGTTAAACGTAAAAACTTGTTTAGTTGGTTCGTCAAAAGGAAGAAAATATTTGATGTAGCTACCAAGTTAGAAATAAAGTTCTCAGAAAATAAGCTGAAAAGTGTTTGTTGTTCAACTGCTAAGTCATGTCCGACTCTTTTGGAACCCTATGGACTGTAGCCTGCCAGGCTCCCCTGTCTATAGGATTTCCCAGGCAAGAATACTGGAGTAGATGGCCATTTCCTTCTCCAGAGGATCTTCCCTACCCAGGGATTCGAAGTCTCCTGCACTGCAGGTGGATTCTTTACCACTGAGCCACCAGGGAAGCCCCCAAAAGAGTGAGACTCTATACAATTAAATACAAGATGTTAATAAAGAATACAGTTCTGAAACACCAGATTTTTTACATGTGAGCAATTTAATTTGGCTACAAAAAGACTTATAATATAACAGTGTGGATAAATGAAGTATATATAAAGAGCAGTGGAGTTTGAGAAATCAAGGAGGACACCACAGAGAGAAACTCTTAAGTGAATAAACATATTTGCAAACCTGAAAATGAAAGCATTAATGTTTGAAAAATAATTTGTTTTTTTTTCTAATATTTCATAATTTTCTCCTTTCATTCAGAAAATAAAGTAGAGGAATATGGAAAAAATGGAATACATTTGTTCTGTGATAGCTGTCAAAATTTTGAAATACCAAACCAAGTGTAACTTAACTAAAACAAACCTGTTAGACTTTGACACCCCAAAGTTTATTGCTTTTTAATTTTTTATTTTAAATGAATTGTAATTTGCTTTAAAAGTGTAATCAGAGATAAATCTATTAAATTTGCCACAAAATTTCTTTATACATAAAACATTGTTATAATTAGTAATAATAATTCTTACTTTTTCTGGGAGCCTCCTTTGCACAAAGCATTTCCACGTATTTCCTCATTTTGTGTAATTGTGCTTAATTCATGTGACTGACACAAAATTCTCTGGAAGTTCTTTTAAAAGTATATAAAGTCATTTAAAAAATATTTTCTTAGTTTTCAAGTTATATTTTTGGAAACAAGTTAAGCAATATATATAGATATGTATAAAGAAAATTGTACATAGGGAAAATGATATAAAGAAATATTAATAGTCTTTGGCCTCTTCCCTCTAATCCTTTCCTCTGAGGCAGACTCCTTTTAGCAGTTGAGGTTTACCCATCTACATCTTTTGTAGTCTTACAAAGATATACAAATATGAATATATGATTATATACATACATTTATCTTACAAATATCTATAATATAAATATACAGGTACATATTTACATACACATATATTTGTGAAGATAGACTCTCTTTATTGTCAAAAAAATGAAATACAATATATAAATCAGTTTGGTAATTGCTTCTTTATTTTTTAAAACCTTTTATTTTGAAATAATCGTAGACTCAATTCCATGGTTGGAGGAGCCTGGTGGGCTGCAGTCCATGGGGTTGCAAAGAATCAGACACGACTGAGCGACTTCACTTTCTTTCTTTCTATAGTTCCTTTTGGAGAAGGAAATGGCAACCCACTCCAGTGTTCTTGCCTGGAGAATCCCATGGATGGAGGGGCCTGGTGGACTGCAGCCCCTGTGGGGTTGCAAAGAGTCAGACACGACTAAGCAACTAACACACACACACAGGAAGTTACAGAAATAGTACAAATAGTTCCATGTGCCTTGCCTCAGTTGACCCCCAAAAGTGACATCTTACATAGTTGTAGTTCACTAGCCAAAACCAGTATAAGTCACATCCAATATTGACACTGGTGTATTACTGTTAACCAGGCTACAGACTTTACCCAATCATCTCCATTTTTTAACCTTTATTCATTTGTATCTGTAGTTTTATGCAATTTTATCACATTACAGATTGTGGGAACTACCATAATCAAAGCATATTACACCTCCATCCAATAAAAGTACTCCCTCATGTTACTTCATTGTATTTGGATCCACTTGTTGTTATTGTTTAGTCACTAAGTTGTGTCCAACTCTTTGTGACCTGATGGACTATAGCCTGCCAGGCTCCTCTGTCCATGGAATCTTCCAGGCAAGAGTGCTGGAACGGGTTGCGATTTCCTCCTCTAGGGGATTTTCCCAACCTAGGGACTGAATTCATGTCTTTTGCATCTCCGGCATTGCAGGCAGATTCTTTACCACTGAGCCACCAGGAAGACCTTTCTGTCTCTATCCCCAGCAATGATGAATCTATTCTTCATATCTATAGTTTTGTAATCTTGAGAATGTTATATAAATGAAATTATTCAGTGTGTAAAATTTTGAGATTGACTATTTCACTATGCTCTTGAGGTCCATTAAGTTTTTGCATGAAGTAATAGTGTTTCTTTTTTATGGTAAATAATATGTAAAATTTATTGCTAAGTAGTATTCCATTATATAAATGTACAGAGTTTCAGTTGCTTACCCACTGAAGGATATTTCATTGTTTTCAGTATTTTGCTTTTGAAAATAAGGCTGCTAAAAAAATAAGCTGAAGTAAAGCTGCTATGAATATTTATGTACAGGATTTTTATGAACGTAGTTTTATTTCTTTGGGGTGAACGCCCAAGAGTGTGTCTGCCAGTGCAGTGTCTGTCTCTCAGAATCAACCAGGTTAGAGCCACAAGGTTTGGTTTGAGTTCCCCCTCCCTGTGCCTCAGTCTGGAAACGGCCTTCAAGAATAAGCTAGGCTATTGTAGGGTTTACCTCATTTGTTTCTCTTTCCTCAGGGATCATGGTCCTGCTCTGCCTGTTTCCTAATGCTTGATTGTAGTTATTTTCATATACTTTGTCTGGCTTTCCAGTTGTTTATAGCAGAAGGGTGATTCCTATAGCACTTAATCCCTCACTGGCAGAAACCGAAGTGCTCATATCCTATGATTTCCTTTTCAAGTTATTATTTCTTTATTCCTCTGTGCAGTTCTCTGAGAGAACTTTTCAGAGAAGATTTTCAGCGCCTTAACTCACTCTTTAGCTTTACCCTTTTTGCTCTTCAGTCGATCTGTATAAATACTTGAATTGAATTCTCTTTTGATTGCTTTCTTAACTCAATTTCTGGCTCTGGCTCCACCATGTATGTGGCTCCAGGGAGAGAAGTGGGTTGGAGGGACCTGCCTGCTATGGCTTCAATAACTCTATGGATTAATAATTGTCTTTGCTGAATATATTGGTCATTCTTAAATTTGGCACTTTAGAATCTGAACTTCAGAGGGAGCCTTCATGAGCATCTAGTCCAACAGCCTCACTTAATAAATAGGAAAAGAGTGTACACAAGGCCTCCAATTTTCAGTCTGCATTATTTTTCCATTGTTGCCTGCCACATAAATTCTGTGCATGAGGGTGTATGTATAAAGTGAGATTAATTTTGTCCTTTATATACAGGATTTTCCTCATATGAAATGTACTCCTTTATTTCACTGTGTTATATTTTGGATTTGTTGCAGAAAAACTGCCTTCAGAGTCAAGTAAAGAGAAAGATTTCAGTGATACCCCTGACGTTTGATTTCCAGTTGGAACTTGAAAAGGACATTGGTACCTCCATGTCTAAGACAAACTCAAAGATCACAACAGACAGATCATATGGCACTAAAAAACCAAAAAGGTTATCATTATAACTGCTTGAAACTTTCAGTCTAAAGTTTTAAAGCATTATTTTTATTGACTTAGATTGTGCAATCTATATTAAATGTAAGCTTTGTCAACATAGGTATATTTCATAATGGTTATGAGTTACAGTATGCTAGATTCGCATTCTCAATACTAGTTTATAAAATATTTATTATAATATTTCACCATTGTAGATGATACTTGTACATAGTAATTATAATTCTAAACATTAAAAGAAAGACTTCTTGAGCTTTATTATATCACTCCAAGTTAATATCAGGATTTATTTAAAGCTTCAACCAATATACTGCAAAAAAAAGAGATATTCCTATAAAACTAAGTAAGGCAGTTTCTCTGTGTACTTATAAGGGGTAGCCTGAATATGTAATAATTGGTCTTTCACTGGCACTATGCATGTATGTAATGAGGTATAATTTTTCTAGGCACTAGAAATGTGGAGGAGATCCAAGACAAAAGAAATAGTAAGATGTAGAATCCATGAGACTTCAAATCAATTGGGCACTGATGGTAGAGTGAACACTGCTCTTCCCTCATTTATTTTTACTCTGTAGCAGCTCAACTTTCTGGTGGCCTTCCCCAGTGTCTCAGTGGTAAAGAATCCACCTGCCATGCAGGAGACACGGGTGTGATCCATGGGTCGGGGAGATCCCCTGGTGAAGGAAATGGCAACCCACTCCAGTATTCTTGCCTGGGAAATCCCACTGAAAAGAGTAGCCTGGTGGGCTATAGTCCATGGGGTCACAAAACAGTCAGACATGACTTAGAAACTAAACAGCAAAAACAACTCAATGAATGTATTAAGTGCAGTTTCACAGATGAAAACCCAAGTCTTGGTGAGCTAAAATGACTTGCCCAGAGTCACACAGCTAGCAAGTGGCAGAAGCTAGATTTAAATACTAGTTAGATTTAAATTTCAGAGCCTATGCTCTTATCTCTACTACATTCTACAGACTGATTTCCAGCTTTTGGTCTTGGTAATTAGACGTATTTTAGTGTTTCGTACTTAGGTAGAGATCACAGGTTGAAAAGCAGATTGGGGTGAGTAAGAGATTAGAATGAGAAATGCTGAGCTTTGGGGCATCCAGGTGGTGGTATCTAAAAGACAGTTGAACAAACATGTCTGAATGTAAAGTAAAACAAGACCATTTAGACTCAAAATACAGCTTACTCAACTGTATTTTTGTTATTTGTGATCTACCAGGATGTCAGAATATGTTTCCATTGTGCAGAAAAGGAGTTTGTTTCTAGCACAAATAAATATTAATGGTTTATATACTTTAGCTTTATCACAAACTTCTTTCACTACTACTTTGTTTTTATGTAGATATGGCCAATACTTTTACTTCAAAATCATTTATAGATCTATCCATGTTAAAATAGAATATTCTAATAATACATAGAAAAAGTTGCATAAAATAGAAGTTGGGCATGTACAGAAGGGAAAAATAATATATCTTATTATATATTGTGTATTATATAATTATAATTATAAATATTATATATTTGTATATATTTATATTTTTATTATATATATGTAAGCCATTATGTGATAGCATAATATATGGCCAATGACCCATTAGATACATTTAAAGATAATGTGCAATGTGTCTTACGGCAGCATTTTCCAGGATGATATCATTGCTTTCCCTTTCCTGTCTATAGATTATAGTTTATAAAGGCATCATTGATCCTGTCTTTAGTGATAATATCAATAGCTGAGTAACATTCCTTTGAATTGTTTAAGTCTGGCTAACTTGAAGTTTGAAATCAGTGTCTAAATTATAGAAACAAACTGCACATAGTTTCAAGATTCAAAAACCAAGTAAACTTTGTTTGATCAGTGCTCAGAGGACCAAAACTAGCACACATGCAAAAAAAAAAAAAAAAAGTACGGGAAAATCAAAAGAATTTACATCAGAATTAGGGTGTAACCCAGGCCAAAAGAAAGAAAATTTGGTTGAAGAAATTAAGAGGATCTAGTACATATAGATAAGCCCAACTGGCAGTATATCTAGGCTCTGAGATTTCCTTCTAAGACTACTTCTAACATTTTCCTCTTTTCAAATAATTTTTCTCATGTAGCAATTTTGTGCTGTCTGTCACTCTTGCTTGAATGATTGGCCCTAAACCAAGTTCAAATTAAAAACTCTTACAGAAAAAAAAATTAAAAAAAAAAACTCTTACAGATAACTTCATTTTAATTTTTAATAGTAGTGCTGCTATCACATACTACTGTGATTTAATTTATTAATATTATTCTACAAGTGTTGATTGAGTGACTGCTATGCTCTGGGCATCTGACAGCAGCTGTGAAATATACCTCATCAGTGGGGATTCAGATAAGTGAACAGGCAGGCACCAGTTGCTACAGAGAGATTCCTAATGTGAGAATCAACAAAATTTTCTAGAGGAGGTGGCCCCTCAGGTGAGACCCAGAGAGTTAGTTAAGAGGCATTAAGATTTAAAAGAAAGAGATTCCAGGCCAAGGCAATAACGTGGACAAGGGTCAGCCAGAGGTAAAGGAAAGTGCAGCTCATTTGAGGAACCAGAAGTAGTTTAGTGTTACTAGACTTGTAAGGGATATGAGGCAGAGATTAGAGACAGATTGGTAAGAAATTGGGCTAAAAGGGTAAATAAAGGCCAGATTACCAAGGGCTTTATGAGCCAGGTGAAGAACTCTGGACAATCTCTTCAGTGAGGAACCACTGAAGGGCTTAAACTGGGAAGTGCATACTTGGATTCTAGAAATATCATTAGGTAGTAAAGGAGGTTATTAAAAACTATGAGAGCTCCTCAGAGAACCTAACCTTTTAGAATTCACATTATCTCCAAAAACTGCCTCTTCCAGGAAACAAGTCATCAGGCAATGAGTCCTTTTTCAGCCATAACAGAAAGATTACTTAAATAGCAGAGTATAAGGGGGCAAGTTTTTCCCTCCTGTCAACAGTGGTATGCTGATTACCTTGACTATATTGCACAGATTTAATTCCTCCAGATCTGGAGATGCAGCTCCTGTCTTATACATGTATGTATGCTCAGTTGTGGGCTTCCCTTGTGGCTCAGCTGGTAAAGACTCTGCCTGCAATACGGGAGACCTGGGTTTGATCCCTGGTTTAGGACGATCCCCTGGAGGAGGGAAAGGACACCCACTCCAGTCTTCTGGCCTGGAGAATTCCATGGACTGTATGGTCCATGGAATTGCAAAGTCGGACACGACTGAGCAGCTTTCACTATGCTCAGTCGTGTCCGACTCTTAGGGACACCATGGACTGTGGCCCACCAGTCTCCTCTGTCCTTGGGATTCTCCAGGCAAGAAGACTGGAGTGCATTGCCATTTCCTCCTCCAGGGAATCTTCCCAATTCAGGAATCGAACCTGTGTCTCTTGCGGCTCCGACATCGGCAGGCAGGTTCTTTGCCACTGAGCCATCTAGGAAGCCCCCTGGTATTATAAGTTATATTAATTATAACAGGATACCAACCTCTACCAGTGCTCACAAACCTCACTCCTACATGAGCCAAGATGTCAGATCTGATTCACAGAGATTTCAGCTCAGCCAGCTTTAACCTTACAACATAATCATGACTGCCAGTACCAGAGTAACTCCTACCAACTGCATGCCTTTTTCATTTTTGATCTCTAGTCTACTGCTATTCAAAGTGTTGTCTTCCATCCTGCAGCATTGGTATCACCTGGCAGCTTGTTTGAAATACAGAATTTTCTGACCTCATCCCAACCAAAGCTGCAGTTAACAAGATCCCCCAGGTCATTTCTGCGAACACTAATGGTTGAGAAGCACTGCTCTAGTCTTTCAAACATGGAGGAATTGTTAAATACAGATCATGGGGCCCCACTGGCAGAGTTTTTTATTCTATAGGTCTGGGCTGGGGCCTGATAATTTGAATGTCTGGTTAAGTCTCCAGGTGACACTGGTGCTGTTGGCACAGGAACCACCCTGCTCTAGCTGTGCCCCCACTGTAATCATGCTGGTCAACACTGACATCTGTTCAACGTTTCTTCTTGATTTGGTGGATATCATAGCAACACTCAACCTGGTGTTATGATCACCTAGATGAAACATGCCTAGGGTTGAACTATAGTTGAGTTTTGTTTTCAAACCAGTGGTTTTTAACCCATCTGCATGTTAGCATTACTCAGGGAGCTTTAAAATAATTGGATTCAACTTTAATTAGTTTGGAGTAGGGCCCAGGCATTACTATTTTTAAGATTTCTCAGATGATTCTGAGAAAAGCTAGGATTGAGAATCACTAAAATTCATAGGGCTTCTTTTTCAGTTACTCCCAAAGACATCTTTTCCATGTTACTATTAGCTCAAGATTCCTGCATTTTTCTTGTATAAATGGGAACTGATAAAGGTGATGGCCACAAACACCCAAAATTTGCTGGAAGGACATTCCTGGGATTAGTTTACTGATAGGGAGAGAGTTTTATAATCATTTGAAAATCTCTCCCAGTCTTTTGCCTTTCATTTGTCTGTGGTCTCTAAGACTTGTCAGCAAATACCAAAGCTTTTCTTTGCAACTTTTCATAATTGAATGTTTTACAAAAAAGCCATATTCATTTTAACAAAAGTCTTTTTAGAAAATTACCTGGAACATAAGTTTTGAAAGAGAAAAAAAGTGATCTCTTCCATACTGGATTCTCAAGTGAAAATGTCAAATTTACCACTTATTAAGTGGTAAGAACTAGGAAACAATTTAGGGGCAAGTAGACATATTAAGAATGCTTTTTCTTTAGATGAATAGGACCTTCTCATTAGAAGAATTACTTTCCTAAAAATAAGTCCAAAAGAATATTCCTTTTAGAAGTATTTTTATGATAGAAGTATAAACTTGAATACAGGAAAGATAATGAAATATGAACAGAGAATATGATTACAGTCTATAATGAAATTTAATCAGTCAAATTCTGTCTTCCTTAATTCAATATACATGTCTTATACTCTGTGTGACAT